AATGTCTCAAGTTGAATTGATGCTCAGAGTGTGCTCTCTGGAGTTGGCTTCTCTGCTCACGCCCGATGTGACCCTGGGGGGGCGGGCTTAAATCTCTCAGACCCTCAGTTTCCTCATCCATAGAATGGGGAGAAGTAGCTGTGGTTGAATTCCTTCATGGGACCTCTGGCTTCTCCCAGGGACTTTGCCTGCACTTGACCCCTGTGGTGTGCTTCATGCTGACCCCAGGGCTCCCCTTGGCTTGCTGGAGGGGGCCAGCAGCTTGTGTAGACGTGCAGACCAGGGGCAGTGCTCTAGGCCTCGGGGACTTGGTGGTAAGGTTGGAACAGTGGCACTCAGGGCTGGCAGGCAGTGGCATTGCTAGGTCCTGCTCTTCAGAGCCACTTTTGTGGCTTACAGAGCAAACTCACAGTCCCTGAGGCCTTGGGGAGGTGAATGGGCAGCCCCTGGTCTCTAGATCCACCTGTGACCGGCCTTCTCGCCACCACATGCCCCCCACCCTTCTTGAGCACCTTCCACATTGCAGGGCACAGACTTCTCAAGGAAAGAGAGTCATGTCACTCGGGGCTGGAGCAGCTCTGGGTCATTCTGTGGCTTGAAAGCCTGGCCGATCTGGGTTGCTGTGTGATGGGCAGGTGTCTGTCATCTAGGCCTCGTGGCCTTGGGAGCCGGTTGGAGAGAGGAGACCAGGCAGGGCTGGGCTCGCACACCCCGTCGTCCTGGGAGTGATCATTCTTGCTACTGGGGACTGCTGTCTCTCTGTCCTGTTCCCCAGAGACCTGGGGGACAGGCTTCAAGCTCTGCAGGGCCTGACCCCTCCTTGCTCCTAGAGTGTCGGTTCCTGTTGGTGGGAACCGAGGCTTGTCCTTGGTCACAGAGTTGCGCCTCAGCAGAGCTGGGTGTTGGACGATGCCTCAGGCTGCTCAGTGCCAGCGCCTCTAGGGGGCACCCCGACAGGGTCTGTGGCCTCAGAGGTGGCCTCTCAGCAGCACCTCCCTTACCTGATCCTCGCCTTCCATGGAAAACGTTTCCGTGGGTGTGCGAGGCCCTGGCTGGGATCCGGTGCGTTCTCTCTGTGGGGGAAGGAGACGCCGCGCTGTGCCCTCTGCCACCACAGGCCTGTGGATTCCCAAGCCCCCGAGACACCTCCTGGTGAGCTCAGGCCTGGCTCTCAGCCGCTCTGCGCCCTGCCACCCACCATGGCCAGTAGCTCCACCAGTGCTGGGATTCCCACACGGTGCCCGGCGGGCCACCCGGGTGCCATGTGGAGGTGGAGACCTTAACCCCAGTCCTTCCTGCAGGAGCCCAGGCCCTGTGTGGGGAAGAGACGGGCTGCATCTCATCTGGTTTTTATTGTCCGTCTCCCTTGCAAAACTTGGGGTCTCCGAGCCCCTGGGGCAGTCCCTGGTGGAGGCCGTCAGGAACTCCCCCGTCCCCCCTCCGTTCGGCATGGCCCTCAGGGGGCAGCGCACACTGTGGCCACATAGCTGGCTGGCGTCATTGGCAGTGGGAAGGCGGGCGGGGTGAGGAGGTCCCTGGGGAGCTCTACTGTCCCCAGCTTGGGTGGACGGGTCACCCTGCCTTCCCTTCCGACTTCAGACCCCTCTGAGGAGCTCAAAGGCCTGCGGGGACAGAACCTCACCCCCACTGGAGACCGGAGCCTGCCTCGCCCTGCTTCCCTGGTCACACTGGCCCTGGAGCCCCCTGCGGCTGCTAGGGCTGGGCAGTGAAGGCAGCGGGAGGGCCTTGTGCCTGTAGGGGGCAGCAGCACCCAGGTGTCCGCAGACCAGGACAGCCATGGGAGCTGGGGCGCGGAGTCTAGGCCACCTGAGCTCCCCACAGCCCTGGGATCCCACGGTCAAGAAGAGGGGTGGTGGGGGTCCCTGGGTCTAGACTCCCTGGTGGCGTCCATAATAGTGACCAGCAGCCTCAGCCACCTCCCCCCACCAGGGTTGGCATCCTGAGCGCTTTGGGGGACAGAGGCCTGGAAAACCACGACTGGGGTTTCCACTGACCCAGGGGCTCAGGGGCTCAGGCTGAGACTTGGAGAAATGAGCGCGCGGTGCTTCCCCACGTGGGGCACGAAGCTGGTCACACTGAAGGCCACGGCTCAAGGCCTTTCGTGCTGAGGGTCTTGGGCCTTGGTCCACATTGGGCAGGGAGAGGTGATAGCTGGCACCTCCAGATGCTGCTGGGGAAACTGAGGCACCGAGGGTGACCCCTCAAGGTGACACCGTGAAGCAGCACAGGCAAGGACACGCGGGGCCATCACTGGGCCATCACCTGCCCTTGGCCCAGGGGTTTCTGTGTCTTGCAGAACCAGAGCCCTGTCCACCTGCTCCCGCTGAGCTGACCTGGCTCCAGAGATTAACGGGATTAGCCACATCCTGGGCTGGAGCTGGGTTTATCAGAGGCGCCACTCCGGGGCCTTGCGGGTGGCTTGGCGCTCTGCACCTCCGGTTCTGTCTGGGCTGCCAGGGTGAGCCGGCTCCCCCCTGGCCGGCTGCCCACTCCTGCTGTGGGCCGGGTCGGGGGTGTCCTGGGTGGCAGACAAGTGGCCAGCCTGTTCCCTGTGGACCTGGGATGCGGTGGCAGTGTCTGTGTTGGAATCAAAGCCCCCCTTGGCTGGACCAGGCCCTGGCTCCCTGCAGGGTTGGGCAGGGCTCTCTGTGGGACTCGGGTAGGGCTGTCCCTCAGCCTTGCCTCCTTGCCTGTGCACAGGGCTTTTCAAGGGCACTGCGAACTGTGTTGCTCCCCCGGGGACCATGGCCCTGGGGGATGGGAGGGCCTGAGGGGGGCAGGCAGAGGGGAACCGATTGTGACGAGAGGGACCTGACGTCTGGGCAGCGGCTCCCCTCAGGTGAAGAACAGAACTCCTGTTCACGGAGCACCTACCCACCTACCGGGCTCCCTGCGGCTGCCTCGGCCGTCCTGGGGAGGGGTGCACCTGTTCTCCAGGGTGCAGCCGTCAGCCCCCCGTCCTGCCCCCGCTAGCCGCTCCAGGTCACCGGGACCTGCCGGAATCTGTCCTGGCTGTGGGAGGCCTGGAGGATCGCGGCTGGGTCCCAGCTGCACCACTGGGACCTTGGGAACCTGCTGCGCCTCCCCACGCCCCACGTCTGTGGGGAAGCCCTGTCTCTACAGGGAGAGAAAGGGCAGCCGGGGCTGGAGCACGCAGCGTGGAATGGTGTGAGTCGTCGGGAGGGCAGGGTCATGGAAGGGTGAGCCGTGTGACTGTCAAACACCTGGAATTCCCTTCACAGAAAATGTCACCAAGGGTAAAGACCCCATTTACAATCCCCCTAAAACTGCTAAAACATCCAGGCTTCAGTCTGGTAAGAATAGTGTGGAATTCATATGAAATAAGCCACGCCACTCTGCTGAAGAACACGGAAACCCGAAGATACAGAAGATTCTAGTTTCAGGAAAAGGAGTGCTGGGGGCTTAGAGACTCACCCTCCACACCCGAGCCCAAAAAACCAGCGTTAAGTAGCAGGGTTTCAAAAATACCACCTGAGCCAGACGCAGTGATGTACACCTGTAATCCCAGTGACTCTGGAGGCTGAGGCAGGATCAAAAGTTTGAGGCCAGCCTCAGCAACCTTAGGGAGGCCCTAAGCAACTCAGGGAGACCCTGTCTCAAAATAAAAAGGGCTGGGGATGTAGCTCACACTCTTGGGGGTTAAATCCTTAGTACCATAAAAACCACAACCTGACCAGTTGATTTTACATCTTGCCTGGGAAAGTGTATGAGAATCACCAAGCAAGTGTTGGAAATGGGGTGCTTGCTAGAGAGCGTCCCAGGCCAGAATGTGTGAAAAAGGATGGTGTTGACACAGGATGAAACGGGACTCAGCCAAGTAGGGAAACTGGAGGCGACCTCACACTGTCCCCAAGCGGTGGGGTATAGTGGTGACTTAGTAATCAAGCAAAAATTCATCAATCCCTACCTCACACCATACACTAAGATATATTCCAGATGCACTGAGGAGCTTCAATGCACGTGTACCTTGTAGATTTATGCATGAAAGAACAAATGTGTGCTTGTGTGTGTGTGTGTGTGTGTGTTTGTGTGTAATAAAATTAGTAGAAGAAAACAGAGGTATTTTTTTATGAACTTGAACTTGATGTCTTTCCTGATTGACTGGATCATGTTTTACAAAGAAAAAAAAAATCTGTTGAACAAAAGATATTCTAAACAAAGTTAAAACACAGAACAGCTGGCCAAGGGAAGCTGGGAGGGATTTGGGGGAGGAAGTGGGTGTCTACAGTTGTTTTTCTTTTTTTATCGAATCTCAGTATGATTTGGCTTTTTCATAACAAGAATGGTTCACGTAACCACTATCAAACATGATGCCAGGCTGGACATGTGTGGCTTCCAGGTCCACTGGCTGCGGGAGGGGGCAGGGGTGTGAGGTGACCTCCTGAGCTCCTTGCACCGTGGAGACTTGGAGAGCTGGTCTAGGAGGGCCCCCAGGGGCGGGAGTGGAGGCATGGCAGATGGCCAGAGGGCCGGCTTCTGCGGCAGGGCAGGGCCTGTCCAGGGTGCCCTCCCTGGGTCTTTCTGATATCTCTGCCTCTTTAACGCCCAGCTGGGCCCCTGCTGCCTGGAATCCATCCCCTCTCTTCCCAGCTCCACTACTTGATCCCGTTCCGCTTTGGCTAGCTTGCTCCACTCCCAGGCCCTGCTTAGGGAAGTGTTATTCCCTCCTTGGGACTGGACCTCCTGTTGCCTGCCTGGGCCAGAGGTCAGTTGTTCCCTCGGTGATCACTTACCTAACACCTACTCTGCATCATGTTATGTGCTGGGAATTTCACGGCGGTGACACCGTGTCTAGCGCTCACGCTCTCGAGGAAACCATCACTAGAACAGGTGGCCTCAGCTCTGGCGAAGATTACAGACAAATATGAGTGGCTGAGGTCTGGGGAATAGGAGGAACGAAGAACTAAGGCCCAGAGAGGGTGCACGTCCTTTTGATATCACACAGAAAAATGTTCAGAGGATGTTGAAACACTCTCCTCTGCCACCTTACTTAACAGATGTCATCCTGTCTTTGTTGCAGAGATGGGGAGACCAGGGGTGGGATCAATTTGAAACCAGAGACAGAGAACCAGACTGCCTGGGTTTGGATCCAGGTGCTACCACTTGCTGGCAGAGACCTCCACCAGTCACTTGGCTGCTCAGAGGCTTCTGTGTCCTGCCGGGGATGTTGTAACGTGCGGGCGTCCAGCGCGGATCAGGAATTGCACACCATGGCCTCAGACCTCAAGTGCTGGGCCCCTCTCCCTCTTCAGGGCCCAAAGACATGCAGACTGGGGCGCGGGCTACAGAATAAACTTTACTCTCTCTCAGGGCAGGAGTCCTAGTTAGGAGTCTCTTTGGGCAGGGTCACAGAGCCATGCACGCGCACTCGGTACAGGCAGGTGAAGCGAGGGTTCCCCCAGTTGCTTGAGATCTTCACCTTGACAGCACCAAAAGCTCGAGGTGGATGGTTCTGGAAAACAGAATCAGATAGGGCAGCTCACCACAGGCCCTCAGCCTCCCTGGCAGAGTGGAAAGAGAGCCTCCCATATCTCAGGTGAGAGACTTAGACTCAGAGAGGGAAATGGTGTATCCCAAGGCCACACAGCAAGTCAGTACTTAGGGGCCAGGATAGAAGGTGCTGAGACCAGCAGAACCAACCTAGAGTGGCTGGGAAATGCCCCAGCTGCGGGCCCCTGGCAGCTTGTTTGCGGTAGGATTGGGCAAGCCCGTTTCCCCTTCTGAAGGATGGGAGTGGTACTGGCTGTGCCCCAGGATTGGAGCCAGGATTGTGGGTGGGTCCCCCCGGGTGGGTCCCCCCGGGTGGGTCCCCCC